TTTTTTTTTTTTTTTTTTTTTTTTTTTTTTTTTTTTTTTTTTTTTTTTTTTTTTTTTTTTTTTTTTTTTTTGGAGGATGACAATACTTCCTCTCTACCCTATGGGAGCGAGAAAGTAAAAATTATAAAAAATACTGTGAAATAAGCTCTTTAAGCACTTTCAGGGGAAGCAAGGATAAATTTGCATGTAAATTCTCCATTGGTGGAACAGGCCAGAAGAAGTAAAGGTATAGTAGAAAATTTTGGGGTCAGGGCAAAGCCAAAAAAGTCATGATGACAACCGTGTTATCTATTCTTTTTATTTCTTATCCATTCTCTTTTTATTGTTTTTATTTTATCCCCGTAATAGACTGATTTGGTGGCTACATCATTCGACATAATATCGAACGCTCGGTTCTAACGTAAACTAACACAGAACCTTGTTTCCGATTCGCACCCTTTGCGCCACACTGGTAAAATGGGTCCAAGTATTTCTCACAATCAGGCTCGCCACATCCCATCTAGGGCCCTGGCACCAGTTTTAAGGTCCGGGCCAAAAGCACGGAGGAGGGGGGGGGATCCGAGGAGCATCCCCCGAGAAATTTTAGAATTTATACGACTAATCGGACGCATTTTGAAGCTTCCGTAAAGAATTTTTCCATCAATTTCTGCGGAATAATTATGTTTTTTTCCCCTACTTTCAGCAAAAAATACTTGCAAATTGTTGCATTCAAAACATCTAGATTTTTTTTTTTGTGGGGGGGGGGCACATGATACTATTTTCAGTTCTATGAGGGCCAGGCCCCCCTGGACTCCCCCTTCGTTTGTCCATGGCAAGAGAGTTGAGCCATGAGCCATTGAAGTCGAGGATTCGTGGATAGTCGATTTCCTTTGACATTTTTGCAGTGTTGAATGCATAGCTGAAGTGCGCTCTAGCTAGAATTGTATTTACAAATCGGTGGTTTTTCTACGAGGATTAAAAATAAACGAGTGGCACGGAATATAACAAAAGAATATGAACTATGCAAAACGATAATCCGGATATCGGAAGTTGGCTGTTTTGAAAACGCCTTCAAATGCGGCGTGATACCTCACGCATTCCGGAGAGTTCAAATAGTTGTATCATTGCGCCTTAGAAATGCGGCGGAAGATTATAATTGAAATAGCCTTCATGCACGCTGGCCTTTTCGATTTCCGTTAACATTTTTGCAGTCATGAATGCGCTTTAGTGCGCTTCAGCTAGAATTGTATTTAGCAAATGGGTGGTTTTTCTACGAGGATTAAAAATAAACGAGTGGCACGGAATATAACAAAAGAATATGAACTATGCAAAACGATTATTCCGATAACGGAACTTGGCTGTTTTGAAAACGCCTTCAAATGCGGCGTGATACCTCACGCATTCCGGAGAGTTCAAATAGTTGTATCATTGCGCCGTATGAATGTGACGGAAGATTTAAATGGAAATAGCCTTCATGCAGGCTCGCCACATCCCATCTAGGGCCCTGGCACCAGTTTTAAGGTCCGGGCCAAAAGCACGGAGGAGGGGGGGGGGATCCGAGGAGCATCCCCCGAGAAATTTTAGAATTTATACGACTAATCGGACGCATTTTGAAGCTTCCCTAAAGAATTTTTCCATCAATTTCTACGGAATAATTATGTTTTTTTTCTACTTTCAGCACAAAATACCTGCAAATTGTTGCATTCAAAACATCTGGAAAATTTTCATTTTTTTTGGGGGGGGGGCGGCATATGATACTATTTTCAGTTCAACGAGGGCCAGGCCCCCCCTGGACTCCCCCTTCGTTTGTCTATGGCAAGGGATTTGAGCCATGACCCATTGAAGTCGAGGATGCCCAGACTGGAGACTCTTAGCATCTGACGATGGAAGAAAATGAAACGCAGTTACTAAAAATATCCCTCTGTACTGAAAATCTTGTAAATAGATAGAAATTTTCCAAGAAGTATACCTCTTTGAAAATTTAAAAAGAATTCTACAGTGCCCCAGCGTGTTTCTGAAAATCTATTCACCTTTTGCGAAATTTTTAGGGTAAATTTTTCACTTTTTCTCACGAAACAAGGGTTGCATGTGAATTCGTAGTGGTTTTTCACGGGTAACACGGGCCCCGATACCAGGGACCCAGTATTCCCCCCCTTGTGGCGGGCCTGCTCACAATCGTAAGTTCTCGTATTTAATGAGTCTTCAATTGATGTATGACCGAATGACCGGCCAAGGACTAAATTTTAATTAATTAACACAATCAAGTAACTCATGAAGAATTTGTACATGAGGTTATGATAGTTTGTTTTGGTTTGAACCAAGATTTCGATACCATATCGAATGACGTAGTCACTAAATTAGTCTGCAGACGGATTGTTGAAATTGATAGGCAACGCTTTAGACAAAGAAGACGCAGGGAGGTTGGAGCGCTCCCATTGGTTGAAACGGGTGGTTGCTATAGACTAAGGTGGAAAAAGATGGACTAACTGTAGGGTCTCTCGTGGGTTGGCGTTAGTTAGTCTATCTCCTACCTCCTATGTCCATCGCAACCACCCGCTTCCTCCAATAGGATCCCTCCATATCCCCTCTGTCTATAGCTTTGTCTATCAATTTCAACGATCAGCCCGCTGTTCTCTTCATTTGTTAAATCTTTCTCGTTTGGGGATCGATAAGTACGTTGCCACCGTGCGACGAGCTGTCGGCGCGCACGCGGCTCAGCGGTCCCCCCGGCTGCGTCCTGAGCACCCCCCTCACCCCCCTTCCCCCGTCCCCCGCGCGCCGTCTCCCGGGTCAAGCGCTGCCGCCGCACAATGGATCGAGTCGATAACAGAAGTCGGACAAAATTTAGCAACTTTATACGCTTTTAACACAAAACTTCGATGTCCCAAACGTGGTTTCATTGGTTTCCTCGTCAAATTTTCTTCCGTTGGATCCCTTGAAATTTAAAATGTGAGGAAATGAACATGGAAATTTGCAGTTTTAGTGGAAAAAATTTTGTGCGAGCCCTCCGATTGGCTGGATCCAGTGTGCGGCGCCGCTCAACTCAACCCGAATCCGAAGCGACGGTCCTCTCCTCTGCCTCTCTTCAGTTCAGTCTGCGTTTGATAGCCGTTGTTGTCGCGCGCGCGGTTAGCTCGGCTCTTGGTTTGGTTCGTTGGCTCCTCATTGTGTGCTCCTCATTGTGTGTGCGAGTCCGTCACCGAATTTCGTCCGCGAGCCAGGTTCGTGTACCCCTCGGGCCGTCACCTGTGTCCTGTGTCCCAGTGAACTGTGTCCAGAGCCGAGATTCTCCACCGTGCCTTTTCCCCAGTGTTTTTCCCACCCCCCGCGTGTGAAGGGTAGTTTAGTGTATCGTCTCTAGGATTACCGCACCCTCGTCGTGGCGAGTATGCTAAGGGCTCCTCGCCGGTTGTGAAGTCTCCGTTTATTTTTTTCAACCCCTCTTCTTTCGAGCTGCAGGTGAGTTTTCCATGTGGTGCTTTGTTTTTTCAGCCCGCTCCTTCCCGCCTTTGTTCCAGCCTCCCGCAGCTCGCGCGGTATTTGCATGGCCGACCCCAGGATGAATCTGTTTTTCTTGTTATTCGAACTGTTATATCGTCGCCTACCTGACATAAGGGCGTAATTATACACAGAGAAAAAAACCTCGTGCGTGGGACCCGAAGTTTAGGTCATGTGGATCTCTGAAGTTTTCAGATTGAGCATCTGAACACTTTAGATCTAGTTGTCGAGGTTCGGATTACACATCTGAAACTTCAGTTCTTACATCTGAAGTAGTTCAGATGTGAGAAACGAAGTTTTTCGGATGTGAGAACCGAAATTTTTGGATGTGAAAATCGAAGTACTTTAGATGTAAGAACTGAAGTTTCAGTTGTGTGATCCGAACCTCGACAGAAGTGTTCAGATGCTCAATCTGAAAACTTTAGAGATGCATATGACCTAAACTTCGGGTCCCACGCACGAAGTTTTTTTCTCCGTGTACTCTGCAATAAACCCTGTCCTCCATACAATTCAAAGTTTTCCCGGGCTCATCTCAACGTGTAGTTACGGCCTTATGTCAGCCAAGCGACGATATCATGAGGAGAACAGGGTGAAAAGCTCTCGAACTATCGGGGAACTTTTCCCAACCCTGGAAATCGGGGATTTCGTCGCTATGAAGAAAAAAGTTGCGGGCGATAGTGGCACATCGCAGGGTTGCCACAGTTAGGAAATACCGGGAAAATCAGGAAATGTCAGGGAATTCTAAAAAGTCTGGGAAAAACTGGAAATGTCAAGGAAAATGTCGAAAGTGTCCGGAAAAAATCGTTAAGTCCCCTTTATTTGCTTTTTCGAATGGGTATGACGTTTCCCACAACAATACTTGGCCTGAATACTACATCTAACTATGTCTTTTCAACAATCTGGCATTTGTCCAGTTGTCAGGGTAATCAGGTAAATGTGAGAGAATTTAATTTTCTAGATTATTTGGCAACCCTGACCACCGTCTGTTCCGAGCTTAAAGCCCGAAAGTTCCGGCTGCTTGAGCCGTAGCTTCGACTGCACCGGGTGCCATACCCGTAACTTTCGGCTTCTGTGCCCCGAACACGGACGTAGGCGTAAGTACGGCTTCCACCGCCGGAGCTTGTTTCTCAGCGCGAGAGACCTTGAAATTCTTTCTCCCGGTTGAAATTTTTAATAATTTTCTACTGCGCTCGCAAGCTTCATTGACAAATATTGGGACTTTTGCCCTCAAATTTACGAATTTCTAACTTTCTGTACCTTCAGGAAACTTAGCGCTCAACAATATGATTTGAGGGGCGTTTTCATGAGAAACGAAGCCGCTGAAATCACTTCCCCGAAACGAAGATTCCGTATTTTTCGATATTTTCCAACTTTTTTTCCGGTCTGAATCTTCTGATAATGATAGTTTTCTGCGTTATCCTTAACGGACCATTCCACAGGCTGTACCTGTGTTACCCTCCTTTTTTAAGGCGATTTTTTCAGGGTAGCTTGTTTTTCAAATTTTTTTATATTCTATGTATAAATTCATTAACTTAAAGCCATTAGAAGTATCGAAAAATAAAAATATCAATTCGAAAAGTGTCCATGTAATCGATTGTTTTACCTACATTCTTTTAAGTGGGGGAAATATATTGTTGCAGCTTGGAAGAATTGTCTCTGTTTTTCCTCGACTACGCCACTCATGTCGAAAACGCGACGAAAAATGCTGAAGTTTGCTTCTTGTTTAGCCTTATTGATACGATTTTTAAACCGTCCATTCAACTGGAACGAGCTCAAGGGTTGAATCACCCCCATGTCTGACTCGCCGGCATGTCGCCGAACAGCGATATCGCCGGATGGTATTTTATGTAGTTTTAGGAAGTACACTCTCACCAGCGTAGAAACAACCCCCCTTCCCCGCCCCCCCCCCCAAAGGGACATACGACAATCCAGCGGACTTTGGCCCTGTGCCCTGTTCCCACTTGCCATCACTCGGAAAGGGATTCAGGGGCTCTCGGATAGAGAGTTTTACGCGTTGACCTAATTTGTTTACGATTTCAAGACATCGTCGAAAATATTTCGAGTTGCCGTGAAAAATCCGTCAACTTTAATGTGATAAGCTCGGAATAGTTTTTTATAGGGTCTCGCGGTTTTCTTGCCGCGCGACGAAAATCTTAAAAAAAATAATGGGAAACCTGGAAAAATTTGTGAATTTTGCGGCGGAACATTGAATTTTTTTCTATCCGAATCACTGCATTTTATATTCAGAAGTGCGCCATAATCTTACCCCCTTCTTCCCCTCCAAAAAAAACGTACGTAGTAAAGTCAGGGATTTTTTAAATCCAAGCAACCCTTTGCCGCCACGCTCTTTACATTCATTTTAATCAATTACTAATACATTTCTTGCATGCCTTTTCTGTAGTTAGTTCAAAATTCGGTTGAAAATTGTTAAGTTATGTTTGAATGATCTTTCAGTGTCTGGTTTTTTTTAAAAAACAAAAAATTCCTACTTTTTTAAAAAAGAAAATTGAATTGTTTGCCCCGGGTCAAGTGCATTTTTGAAGTATCAAGGTAAAACTGAAAAAGCTCAATCGTAGCCTCAATATGCTTTCATTATTCCCCTTTAATAACTGAGACAGTTTTCGGTAAAAGGGCGCATGAGACTTCCAATGCTGCAGAGATTGTGCAACGTAGTTTTCCTGTTGTAATTAACTTACCCGACAGTTCATCCATGAAATTTTCCCTGGATCTGCTCCGAATTTTTCTTCACTATTGTAAGGAAGTAAGTCCATCGTGAATTATCTAATCCGCCGCAAATACTGTAAAAAATTGCGAAATCCTGCAGCATTGCAAATCTCATACGCCGTTTTACCGAAAAATGCCTCGAACGATTCATTCTTTGTTTTTACAACGTCTAAAAATTACAGTGCTGCTCAAATTGTGCAACCGGAATCGGATGTAAATCGTAACGCATTATTTGCAGCCGACGAAATAAAGTCACGTTTGAATTTTACTCCCGAGCGTCTTCCGTAGTTTTACTCATTTCCCCGTAAAAATAAGTTTTATAACGTGTACGATCGCTTCGCTAGACTGTGAATAATATCTATTGTTTTATCTGAACATTACTGCCAAGTCTTTCATGTCGTTTCCAGAAAGAATGTCTCAATCGGATGTCCATTTGTCCTCTTTTTTTTTTGTCACTTTAGAATGTGCAAGTTTAACTCTTTGCCACTGGACTGGAACTGGCCTGTCGTCTTATCTCACTCTCTAGATCTTTCGTCCGTATTTATTTTTGGCGTTACGACACAATCCGCGTCGTGTGAAAAGTCTAGAAACGAGTGTATTCACTTATCAGTCCCTCGTTATGAAGAGCTAGAGGCTGCTTTGCCAGATTTTGTCGGAAAAATTGGAACGGTTGAATGTATTCAATTCCAAAGGAACAGTCTCCATTTTTACATGGGCTCCGAGACACGTAAAAATCCGTGTACTATAAGGCTCATGTCTCAATAGAGGTGGTTATTTTTTGTTTAATGAGGTGTGACGCATCGATCGATTGAATGACTTATCGATCGAAATGCCATTCAAACCTATGGAAAAAGATCGATTATCTCAGCAGAGTTCGAAGGCCATATTAATCGATTCTTCACCATACTTTCAAATGGGAAAATATCAATTGTCGAGTCCGGAAAGAGGAACGTAACCCGGCTACTGTGTACTCGGTGAGAGGGCAAGAGAAACGCCCTTAAGTTTACGATTCCGCGCCCATTTTTCCGCTTTTGCGGCGTAAGGGCGTATCTCTATTTGCACATGAGCCCCGGAAAATATAGAGTTATACGGAGAACAGGGCTCATGTGGAAATAGAGATACGCCCTTGTATCAGAGGAGCGAGAATTTGGGTTCTTCCAACGACAAGCGCTGTCTGATATCAGTCACTGGTGATTTCCCGCCAGTGGGTTGCCATAACGGTTATTTTTGCTCCAAGTGGTCGGTTGGAAATCAGGTTAAGCATATACATATTATAATAATAAAAAGAAAAGAAAGAAAGAAAGAAAGATAAAACAGTGATGAGTGGAGGAAAACTGAGGGAATTTTTAAACCTACGATTTGTCGTCATCCTCGAAAACCTCTTTGAGTCTTGGTGACTAAAGATACTTTTCCCATGGACTTCTCCGTAGTGCTTTGCATCTCGAGGCCCCCTGCTCAGCCTGAAGACCCCCTCACGGACGCAGAGTTGACTAGAGCGACCCCGCTTAGTCACTTGACGAGTCACCAGCCCTATCTCTTTTTTTCTCTCTCCCCCCCCCCCTTCATCGCATCTCTCCTTTTCTTTCCCCCTCTTTTTTCAACTTTTTTTTATAACTCGTCTATTTGTACGTCGCGTCGTTGAACGCACATGGTTGTTGATCGAGAAGGATTCATTGAATTTTTCTTCCTTGCCCTCCGTCATTCTTGCATTTCAATCCTCTCGACCATTCTTGCCAGACTGTGCTGAAAATTCAGCACGTTTCCCCATTTAACTTAGTGTCTGATATCCAGGTGTTTTCACACAATCTGGGAACCGAATCAATTATCACATTGCTACCAAGAAAGACACTCATTCAGACGTATTCAAATCAAAAGAGACTATATCCATTCATGACCGGATTTACCTACTTGCCGCCCTTGGGCCGCCTGTATTTTAAAACCATCGAATAAAACGAATGAACGTGCCGGAGGGAGAAGGATGCATAAGACGCGTTCAGTTGTGTTGGACACATTTTTTGCGTAAGCCCTGGCAACACTACTAGCAAAAGTTCACGGAACTTTGTGCGAAAGTTCAGTTCCGTAAACCTATCTCTATGGGGACAAGGCCTTTCATTTGTAAGAAATGAACTAAAAAATTAATGAAGAACAAACATAAATGTGGTTTAATAATTTTAACTTCCGCCGCGCCGCCGTGCCGCGCTGACCACACCGTGTTTGGCGCAATGCGTGAAGTATCC